CCGATGGAATAATGCCTTCGTAACACGATCCGAGATAAAAGCGGTACCGCCGGCATCGGACGTCTTGGATGATGAGAGGGGTCATCAAATCATAGCCCGTCGTCGTAGTCGCCGAAAAACATTGATCATAACTATTTCTCGTTGCTTGGCGCAGAGCGCTGCGCTACACTAAAAAAAAAATGTTTGTTCGCACGAACCAAAGTTCGGCGTTTCGTATCATCCCGACTGATTCGGTTTGTCGGACCATATTGTCGGTTCGTCAACCGGAACCTTGGGCTCGTGTACACTGGAAAAAAAATACATTGGATCTAGAGTCCAGACTCTTGAAAACATTGACAAGAAAAAGGACTCTTGATTCAATCGGATTTTTGCTTGAATCAAAACGAAATCCGCTTAAATTAAGAGGCTTTGTTCTTGATTTAAGCTAGATTCTGATTGAATCAAGAGTACTTTTTCTTGTCGATGTTTTTAAGAGTCTGGACTCTAGATCCAATGTATTTTTTTTCCATGTAACCGAGCTTCAACGGCAAAGTGAACTGACGAAAGAAGTTCGGTCATATAAACCGAATGTTTGATTACACGAACCGAATATTCAGTTTGACACACCGATAGTTGGGAAGATATGGGACACCGAACGTTCGATTCATGTGACCAAACTTTTTTTTTCAGTGTAGACTTTCAAGTGGCAAACTGTCAACGAAATTGAACACACCTATGGCAAAAACGATGTAAAATGTTTGCCTTAGCTCTTAATAATACCTAGAACCTTCAAAATAACCTTCGTAATGAGAATGGGGACACTAGACCCCCAGAGAGGTTGTTTAGGACAGGACCCCAAAATTGGCCGCGGCTTTGGATGGGATGGTGACTTTTTCGTTGATAACTTTTTACAGCTATCATCTCCTGCGTTTTTCGCCAACATTGCTAAAGACCAAATCTTGATGTCAGAAGTACGGATTTTTTACCGTAGGGAGTTGGATATACTTGGGGGTGCAAAAATGCATGGAAAGCGCAAAAAAAAATCATTAAAGCTATCCGGAAACGCGATGACTTTCAAGAATTCGAGGTGCGACCGCTAATTCTTTCCGAAAAGGTGTTTGGTTGAAATCAACTGCAACGGTACTGAAACAATAGCTTTCCTGAATATACAGGGTCGGACTGGCTCGCATCTGAGGGCGTAGACTATTGGCTGGTTAAGGGTGCGCAATGTGATATTTCTTGGAAGGGCATCTCCTGCGTGGAGAGGGGTTCAGAAAATTTTGGCAAAGCGGCAGTAAGTTTACGCTATTTTCAGGCTCAAATTTTATTAATCACACGGAGTAAAAATTGCAAAATTGAACGTATTGAAGTAACCGGCAGACTTCTGAAATTATAGAAAACATGAAAAAATCAAGCCATCTAGCCGCATCCAAGCACCGTTACTTCCAAAAAAAAAAAAACCGAGCCAGTGCTACGGTTTACACGAGCTTAGGACGTGGGTCTACAAATCCATTCTAAAAAAGAATCAGACAAGAACCTGAAAAAAAAGAACGAGTATCAACCCAGTAGAATACAGAAAAATCGTATTCGGGCCTCTTTTTAAACTTTTTTCCCGAATCTGAGCGACGCCTTATTGACAGCATATACCAGATCATTGAAAACTCACGCTTCGCGTCATCGCGCCTTCAATTTTTCAGATGCAGCACGGATGTCCATTAAGTACGAATAGTTGTATCTCTGCGCCTTCGTAAACGTGCATCCTTTCCCTCCCTCCATTTCCATATTGTGTTTGTTTCCATTTGTCTTATTCGTAATGTATGGTGCTTCAAGCACTACGAGACTAACACAGCCGAGGGTAGGAGAGATGTGTCCGGGCCTCTTTTTTAACTTTTAAAATATGTTTAAAGGTCTCTCAAGAGGTCCATAAAGGGCGTGCGTATGTCTAGAAATCAAACCGACTATCGCTTCTAAGGCGGTTACGATAGCAAACGAAGGAGGGGGATGATAAAGCGCTTGTATGTCATCAAAAATGTGAAAATTTCACAGATAAGTGTTAACGCTCCAGAAAGTAGTTCTTGGACCTCTGTTCACCACACATCATGCGTAAAAGCACCTTTCTTTACTCCTATAACTCTCTCTTCTTCCGTTCACTTAAGACATTTTCCGCAAATATTCTCAGTCGTAATTTTTCCTTCTTATTTTGCTATCTGTCAGATGGGCGCGTTTTCAGCGCGTCAAGGGGGCGTGGGCGTATCTGCCAATGGCAGATTGGCCTTATGGCCAGTCCGAGCCTGGAATATAGTTCAACGTTGAAAGAGGCGTGCGCCTCAAAAATCATATTATTCTGCACTATAAATTCAAAACCCTCAAATCCACTAATTTTTTTCCTGGTAACTACTCGGTTTATTCTAAAAAAATCATAATTTACGATCTAAAATCGTATCGATGGGCAAAAGGCGAAACCGGATACCTCTATTGCGGTGTGTTTACAAATGTCCGCTCCTATTTTATTTTTTCAAAGAGAAACAAAGCCAACTTTATGGAAACTTGAAATTCATACGGAATATTCCGCTAACAGAGTGAAAAAATCATGGAAATTTTCAAGAAATTATACGTTGAACAGTTTTCCACAGAAAAAAAATAAAGTACTTATGACAGGAAGTTCACAGCGTCGCAAACGGAGATACATGATTTCGCAATTTGGCTATCGATATGTAAGCGAGCAATTTTGAAGAAAATGCCCGATAATGTTGATGTGTCACCCTCGAGATGGCCAAAAGCCGTTCATGATTTATACAAAAATGCGACTTCTTTCATGATCAGCCACATGTCCATGCCCGAGGTAACGAAATTGGCGGCATTCACCTTTCAATCAATGTAGTTGCTACTTCTCCTTCTACAGTTTTCTTTCATAGAGTAATGCCTGCTGTAAGATTGAGCTAAGTCTAACGGAGCGTTTTACAATCGGCCAAATCGTATCGAATTACTGTCTCACAATCAGCTTTTGAATTCCAGCCCTCCATGCGGTTTATGCTACTTTACCAACTCCGAAATCTTTGACATGCAGGAGTATTCAATGGCGAGGGGTGATATTCGAAGAACGATATTTTTCCATTTGAAACTGTGATAAAAAATCGATTCATCGAAAATCGTTTAGATGTAAGTTGCGAACGCCCTGATAATCGACATTTTTTCATAGGTTAGAATGGCATATCAATCGAACCATCGTAAAGCACGCCACGCCACTGGGAGTAATATTTCTGCTCTGCACCCCTGGAATGATGCCACACCAGAATGCAACGTAAAAACTAAAATTCGATACCGTTCTCCCAATTAAAAAGACATTATTCGACCAAACAAGGGAGGTCCTCGTTTTGCCACGTTTTGTATTTCGCAGAAACCCTGCCTTTCTTGGAAATGGAGCTCTTTAAAAACAGATACTTATTTTTTTGCGTTGATCAGTTTTCACAAAGTTTTGAGTTGCAAACTTTAGTCTCTTGGGTATCGTCATGTTTCCAAGAATGTTGTCAAATCTGGGACTTCAAGCCTCTATGTCCACGGTCGAAAAAGGGAGTTGTAATCAATGCCGAATTAGTAATTTTTTTTTCGTTGGGCGATATCAATTTGGGTGCCCCGTGAGGGGAGGTTTAAGGGACACCCTAAAGCTAAAGAGGAGCCCGCGGAGAAGAACCACGAATTTTTTGAAAATTTAGAGTCTCTGGCTCAAACATAAAAATTTAAAACTAAAACTTAAGTCTCTGACTTAAAAATTTTGAGTCATTTTCAACTTAATCAGTACTTTCTGTCCCTTTAATAACTAAAAATGAACTAGAAAACTAAAGAAAAAAAAGCACGAGTTTTCCCGTTTCCTTTAAACATAAGTCAGCAGCGATTCTTCGTACATTCTTCCATTTTATTGCCACATAAAAGCAATTACGCAAGAAAACTCCTGGAAGATTTCAAATCGGTTATTTTCTCCAATTCAATCGAGTTAAAGAATTAAATTGAAAGGCTTTAAAGTGTTGAATTTCAAGATACTATATAGGAGATTAATTGTCTTATTTTCAACAAAAAAAGACACCGGGAAATCCCTTCGCACCATACACCTTTAAAGAAAGGAAAATAATAATGAGCAACCTAATTCCAAAAATTTGTGGACAAAACAGAAGGACCAAAATCTTTTCTACAATGCAATCAGAAGTGAATACTTCGTACTGCACTGCTGCTGTGCTGATTGTGAGAAAATATTCCCTACGAACATTCGAATGTCATCGAAGTTTCCATCAAGACGCACATACATTATAAAAAATATGATATTTTCTCCTGCAATTTTCGAGTACACTGATTAAAATTACCAGTAAAATTCATTGAAAATTTCAAGAAAAAATATTCTCAAGTTTTCAAAGTTTTCGTTTTATTAAGGAAAAAATTTAAAAACCCAATGTTTGTGCAAAATTCGTCCCTAGCACGGAGGATTGTGGAATAAAATCCAAAAATAATAATGATAAAAAAAATAAAAAGAAATTAGATGGTCTCTGAAACTGACGGAAAATTTCTTTACTCTATAGATCTTGTGAATTTTACGGGACAAATAAATGCCTACAGAAATTGTGCGCAAGTGTATAGTATACCCACGGAAGTCAGAAAACTTTTTCCTTCCGTTTATGTTACGTTTGCGTTTTCATGCGATGGAAAAATTAATGAAAAGTAAGACTTGGAAATTCCTCGGTGAAATTTCACATCAAATTTCCTAAATTTCCTCTGCAATTTCGGACAAGTTTTGAAGGGCAATCTCCGGACTTCTGTCACAGTGCAGAGTCACCTGAGGAGCATTCGGCGAAAATCGAACCTAACATAAACATGCACCTTATCAGCGGCTAAGCGCGGCGCGCGGCGGGAAAAGCGTGGGGGGACGGGCGGCGGAAGAGCGCGGGGGAATGACCGGGCGCTGCGATTGGTGGATGCGGCTGACAAGTTCGGACACGTTTGGCCGCGGCGAACTGCGACGACGCTCTCCCCCCCGTACTCAGTCCGTGTCTTGCATCGCTGCGGTACGCCACGGAAGCCATGCGTCCTTACTGTGCGTTCGTATTGGATTTTCGCTCATAGTTGTGCGTTTCTCGTGATTTGTGACAGTGCCGCGTCGGATTTTCTGCAAATGTGAGTGTGTTGAAAATGAAAGAATGGAGTCTTTTTTACCAACGTGTTTGTTAGTGGTGTTAGTGTGTGGTGCGGTGTGCGCAAGGGATACTGTGTGTGGTTCCAGCGACGGTGGAATTAAATGCACTCTGAACCCTGATCAGGTAGCTAAATTGTCCAATTCTTACTCTCGATATTTGCGTAATTTTTCTAGTCTTGAGAGGGTGGGAATGGAGCATTGGAAACCACATAAAAATCAAATAGACGGAGGGAGGGGGGCTGGGAGGACAAGGCGCATAAGTGCAGTTTTTGAAAAAATTGAGATATTAATTGTTTCAAGTAAAACTAGTCTGATTACATATTCTGTGAAAATTTCGGTTCCAAATTCCAATTTTTCAGTATCGAACAGTCAGTTTGAGGTTTTCCTCCGCCATAAGGATCCATGTAATTTCGAAACTTCAAACACGTATTTCTCAAAATAACAAAAACTGCATTTATGTGCGCCTTCTCCTCCAAGTCCCACAATTGTCAAAAGGTCCTCGAAAACGTTCAAGTGAGTATGGGCTTCTCACTTGAAGCCTTTGGTGAAGAACGAAAGTCACATATTTGATTATATTTCGTTATTAATGTGGAAAAATTTTATTCGTCCCCATAACTATGGTAATTCAGAATATTTCACGATCGCTTTTACCTACTTAATTTCTGAACTTCCAAAGATGCAAGGTTTGACTTTATTTTGCAATTCGAAACCACATTCTCAGTCTCAGTTCAGAAACAACGTATACACAATTATTTTCCCAATGCACATAAGTGTTTCAACGGATTAGCTAAAAATTGTAGTTTCTAGTTGCAAAATGAAGTTCAATTCACCCCAAGCTTCCTCGAATCACTTTTCATGAGAAAGTTATGAAGGAAATTTTCCAGTAATTATTACTGGGTAATTTCCTTCCTTTCCATCATATCCTATTCCTTTCATCCTTTATTCGTATGAATGAAATAACAGGTGAATTGAGGGGCTCGGAGGACAAAACACACAAGTGCAGTTTTTGAAAATTTTTACATATTAATGATTTCAAGTGAAGTGTGTCATAACGCATATTCTGGGAAAAATTCGGTCCGAAATTCCAACTTTTAAGCATCAAAAAGTCAGTTTGAGCTTTTTTTCCGTCATAAGGATCCGTGTAATTTCATAAGTTCAAACACGTATTTCTCGAAACAGCAAAAACTGCACTTATATGCGCCTTTTCCTCCATGCCCCACAATTATTGTCAGAAGGTATCCGAAAATTTCCAAGTGGGTATATGCGCCTCTCTCTTGAGGTTTTTGGTGAAAAACAAAAGTCACATAATTATATTGCGTCATTAATGTGGAAAAATTTTACTCATCCGCTAAACAATGGCTTCTTATTTTCATTCGGAATTTTTTCACGATCGACTTACCTACTTAATTTCTGAACTTCCAAAGATGCATAGTTTGATTTCATTTTACAATTCGGAGCCACATTCTCAGGCTCAGTTCAGAAACAACGTATGCACCATCACTTTCTCTAAGTACTTAAGTATTTTAACGGATTAGCTGAAAATTGTTGTTCCTAATTGTAACATGAAGTCCAATTCATCCCCAAGCTGGGAACCTAATGCCTCGAGTCAATTCTGCATGAGAAAGTTACCTAAAATACTACATAATTTTCATACATTTTCCCTTAATTTCAAGCATATGAGACTTGAGTCGAAATAATTTGGATGCCTTAATTTAATTGATTGCGAGACAAGATAAGCAGACAGCGGAAGTCACAACTCCTGAAAAAGATAACTATTGCTGCCTGGAGGATGTTGTCTGGCCTACTTCGAAAATTGAAGGGGAAACAGTATCGCGTATAAGCTCCATACCTACTGTGTACATATGGTTCATCTTTACGTCCCTTAAATTTCTCTGTCAGAAAATGTCTCTGCTCAGCAATTCAGTGGCTTACCTCCGTATTGCATTTTGTTTTTTATGCTAATGGAGAGTCATAAACGGATCACATTTAGCAAAAAGGAACTAGCATGATTACAGTGTTTTCAAAATCGTGCAACCTCTTCTTTTCTTTTAAAAATACTTAAAATATGTATAGTGTTAAAATTCACACAATTATTTTTCTTTAAAAGTAACAATCTTGTGGTGAGAAGCAAAAACTATTTGCTATTCTGGGAGGTTTTTTTCGATAATTATGAAGAAGCAACATTTTTACAACAATGTAATGAAGATGTCGCATGTGTGAAGAATTTGCGATTTGACTGTTGATTCTTACGTAAAAGTTCGCGAGAAACACGCCACTGGTTTTCTCTGAAATCAACACCCAAGCTCAAAAAAAGCTCTTAAGTTAAGGCCAAAATGGAAAGGATATTCCACCCTACCCTGAGAGTCCACCTCTACATCAAGACAAACTCTCCATGCAATGCAAAGATAGGGAGCAAATACATTGACGTGGCTGCCACTTCATTTGGGGACTCTAAAACTGAAAACACGGCATCCCTGCTAATGTATTTGCTCCCTATCTTTGCATGGATAGTTTGTCTTGATGTAGAGGTGGACTCTCAGTGTAGGGTGGGATATCCCCTCCATTTTGGCCTGAACTTGAGAGCCTTTTTTGAGCTTAAGAGTTGATTTCAGAGAAAACCAGTGGCACCATCGTATTTCTCGCGAACTGTTACATAAGAATCAACAGTCAAATCGCAAATTCCTTACACATGCAACATCTCCATTGCGCTGGTTCCTTTTTGCTAAATGCAATCCAAATGATGGAAAAGAGTCACGACGAACAATATCACTCCCTGTGAGATGATTCAGCCAGCAAAATGCTGTATGATGGCCACATGATCGGACATCCTGCCCGAAATTGTGTTTGTAAACAGAGGCGAGCTTTAACTTTTTCTCGGACGTCGAGCGTGTCGGAATCCAATTAGTGCTCGGTTTCTAAGCTATCTTCCTCTGTTTCTTCATTAACGACCAGCAGACGTCGCTAATGAAGCAGAAACAGACAGAGCGACCGCGACATCTCAATGAGAGAATATTTGAACCATTTATCAGGCATATTGGCCTCTGGCGCTTCAGAGACTTCCATCTTCGATAAAAATTGCGCAACTGATAATCGTGTCTTAGCTTGATGCTTTTAAAACCCTTGTCGATATGAGCAAGGGAAAGTTATAGGTAGCTTGTGTCCTGGTTAATGATGATAATCATGTTCAGTGACAGAGTCCAGTCGTATTAAAATAAATTGCAACAAAGAGATAATTATGCCTTTGTCTAGACTAAAATTATGGCTTCCGTCTGTCGCTTTCCGATTGCACATAGTTTCTACTTCATTGGCGGACTTCCGGAATTTTTCGTCGCCGGCGTGGACAGAATAAAATTTTAATATTTCTGGTGCAGTATTATAATACAGGACACTTAGCACGGTAGAAATAGGAGAGGACGGCCTTACAATGTTTTACCACTTACAATTAGTGCAAGAAATTTAATGTTTATTTGACGTCGAAAAGTCAACATTTGATTCTTTTAAAATTTCAAGCGAAAAGGTTTTCTTAAAATTTCAAAATACATCCTGCTGAAAAAGACCAAAATGATGAGTGTAATATGGTATCATGTTGACTTCAAGATGTTACCACTGTGGCACCATGTTGAGATCAGAAAGTTAACGCAACGATGAAACCAGTATGACATGGACAGTTTTAGTCCCTCTTTCTGATACTTTATTTTCAAGTATGAGGTAGTGAATTTTGGTTTGTCATTTATTTTTCTATAATTTATTTTAATTTTATTTAATTATAATATCTCTGAGTAAAGAGTTTTTAAAGTTACACTACCTCGTTGAAAACACCTACATTGACAATAGGCAGCCTAGTCTGAAACAATATGCTCTCAACATGGTCGTTTTCAGCTGGGCAAGAGCAATAATTTTCTCTACTCACGAGTCAATACGTATAGGATGACCCAAAAGTTGCGCACCGCCCCAATGAACCTCAGGGATCATTTTAAGGATCCTCCTCTTAAGGGATTCTCAAGGGCATTTTTAAGAGAAGTTTACCCAAAATTTTGGGGTTAATACTTAGATGTCAGTTCTTTTACCCAGGAGCACTCACAAAATTTCAGGTCTCTATCTTTGTTCGTTCAAAAGTTGCAGAGGTGGTGCCTGGTTCTTTTGAACCATCCTGTATAATTTCACACTGGAAAAAAAAAAACAAAAAAAAACCACATCGGATCTATAGTCCAGACTCTTGAAAACACTGACAAGAAAAAATACTCTTGATTCAATCAGATTTTTGCTTAAATCAAAAGGAAATCCGCTCAAATTAAGAGGCTTGGTTCTTGATTTAAGCAAAAATCCGATTGAATCAAGAGTATTTTTTCTTGTCGATGTTTTCAAGAGTCTGGACTCTAGATCCAATGTGTTTTTTTCCCAGTGTAGTCTCACGGTTATTTTTCTGTGGGTAATCATCAACTTGAGCAGCATTTTCACGGACGTTCTCGAGTGGGAACAGGTACGTTGTAAACGCCAGCAATCGTAGTAAATTCCGTAGCTCCTCTAAGGGCATATCTCAATTCACTGTTAAAAAAAACGGAGTGAGACTCAGCACAAGCGCGAGTAAGAACGGGCCCTCACTTCGTCGGACCGAGGAGTCACTCCGACGGAGAATCGGCTGGACGGATTTTGGGTGCCGTACGCATAGAAATCACTCCGACGCCGGACGGATTCGCGGGAGCCGCAAATTTAGGGGTTCGCAGCTAGGGGATGGTGGAAAGGGGTTAATTGTGGAAATAATTTTTGAAACCATGAAAAATAAAAATAATGAAACCATTGGTACGCGATTTAACCGATTTTATAGGTTAGAAATTTTCTACCTACCTTGGGTATTGAACCCGGGACCTACCTAACACTAACCGACGACCCTACCGATTGAGCTATAGCGAACGATGCACGCAAGTGACGCAAAAACGGTATTTAACGTCGATTTGAACGGGCCGCTAAGATATTTTCAATCTACCTGGATTTGTCCGTGTATTTAGTTTACTTTACTATATTTTTTAACTATATTTTATCGTTTTACTTTGTTTTATTTCCTTGTTGTCTCTATTTTTTCTTCACTCTATTTTATTTTTTCAAGCACTTCATTTTTTTTTCTTT